CTCTCTCTCTCTCTCTCTCTCTCTCTCTCTCTCTCTCTCTCTCTCTCTCTCTCTCTCTCTCTCTCTCTCTCTCTCTCTCTCTCTCTCTCTCTCTCTCTCTCTCTCTCTCTCTCTCTAGTCTCTACAATTAAAGATAAAAAATAAAAAAAAGAAGAAGAGGAAGAAGAGGAAGCCTGCAGGTTAAAGACGAGTTACCCGACAAGACGGCTTTGCTTTCTCAGCCTTTGCTCCTTTGATTGCCTCATCCCCGCTGACGTATCTATCCCTCACGTTGACCGTTCTTTGTTACTTCACACATACATACATTCATTCATTCATTCTTTCACCCCTCTCACACACATACATACATTCTCCCTATTTTCTTTCGATAACTTAACCGTCCCACAGCCACAAATATGTATTATTGACGGGTCGTGGTTCTCTAGTTTGCTTTTAATGCTTTATTAGAAGAGTCCGGTAACATATATAATCTTGTTTTTGTCAAATAAATTTGAAATATATCCAGAAACACCGCAGATTGTAATCATTTAATATAATTAACGTTAAATAGGTAAGCTAGAAAGATTCAAAATAAAACAACAACTACCGTCTACTGCATCTATATATATTGTAAAGTAAAGGCCGGCCTAATTAAATGGATTGCGTGACTCATGAGAGAGCATCTATACCTCCTTTGTCTTCTTCTTTCTCACTTTCAAAACAGTCAACGCTCTCTCTCTCTCTCATCTCTCCTTTGGAATTTGAAATGATAATATAATTTATTTAATATGCGTTATATATCAGATGGATCACGAGAACGAGATCTGTCTGTTATGTTTAGTTGTTGTTAATCGATTTCACTTGGTTCGTGTTTGGTTTTTTTTCTTTGTTTCCCTTGAATTGTGGGGATATACACGGGATCATATTTTCCTTCTGATCGATGCGTAGTTTTAACGGGTGCGCGTGGCTTAGAACATATCAATAATTTGGGCTTTTTAGGTGTTTCTTTTATGGGCTTTCAGTCATCAATTGGATATATATTTTGGGCTCATGTTCTGATCCAACATACATGCGCATCAAGGTCCGGATAAAAACATTTGGATAATATTTTTGTGTATTCTTTCTTCTTCTTCGACGACATTCAAAACCAATTAAGCTAATTTTTTTTTAGCTGAAATAATATCTCTCTCTCCCGGCGTACGCGCGGTGATGTTTGCATCATTAAAACTGGCTTCGACACAGATACTTGTCGCTCCAATTCGTCGACGGCCTTCTTAGGAGAGGTTAAGTCTCTGCTGCACGCAAGCTGTACGACGAGAACATTGTCTCCACCAATACCATACACACCCAAAAGGTGATGAGATCAATGAATTGACTGCTAAAATTGAGAGACAAGGGTACAAGCCTGACACAATTTCTGTAGTACAAGACATAGATGAGCAGATGAAGATTGAGTACCATAGTGAACGTTTAGCCGTCGCATTTGCTCTGATCAGTGCACCAGAAGGTTGTCCGATTGTTGTAATGAAAAACTTGAGGCCATGCTGCAATAAAACTGATATTGAAGATTGTAAAGAGGGAGATAATTGTAAGGGATTCAATTCAAGCAGATCATTCCATCACTTTAGTAAGGGCCGGGTTTGTTTTTGTGGTGATTGCTGGTGACTCGCATTATATAGAACAAATATCTAGAATAGTTTCTTCTTCCTTCACTTTTTAATTTCTCTGAGCTTGTGATTCAGATTTTGTAACCTTAACCAATAATGTAACTTACATTAGGTAAGCAGTCCTAATCTATCACAATAGGAACACTTATTGTTTTTCTAGTACCTCTCCATCAAATTACATTATATTACACAAGGAGTATTACACAAGGAGAGTGGGATTTTTGTTTCCTAATACCAGTTTGATAAGAATCATAACATCAAACTAGTTATAGACCTTGCATGTTGCACCTAGAGGTTTTACGAAGAGGCAGCGATGTAACCAGACGGGCATTCTGAGACAGTTTCACAAGTACCTGTCTCAAAGAAGGCCGAGTGGAGAGCCTTCACACAATGCTCCGCCTCATCATCATTCACTATCAATGAGATGTTTACCTGATATCATAAAAAAAAGTCAGTCGAGTTTGTAT